ACGATGGCGACCACACCTTCCCCTGCAGTCAAGCTTCAAGCTTCAAGCTTCAGGTGATAGGTGGTCTCATATTAATCGGTTGCTCAGGCAAATGGGCTTGACGTCTCCCTCGTCTCCCTCTACCTCGACGCGTCTGCGCTGACATTCCACTACTCCATCTACATTGTGCAGTTTCTGCGGACAGGTGAGCTGGACTTCAGGACATATCGCGAAGTCGGCGGACTGATCAACCGTGACCATGCCACATGTGAACAGACCGGTTGACCACGACGGCCACCATGAGTCCCTCTGCGTTGAACTGGGACGTCCTCGATATCGTCTTGTCATTCGGCAACCCATACGACGCCCTCCAATTCTCCATGACCTGTCGCGACGGCCACAACCTGGCGATGTCGCATTTCTTGGAGGAAGTCGAGTTCCCGCTTCCTTGGTTATGCTTACAGGGCGCAAAACGGTCATCACTCGCTTGCCCGGAGCTCTTCAAGGGTTTCCGCGCTTACATGCTCGACTCGCCGCACGCGTCCCATCGCCTCCGGAAGCTCAAGGCTCTTACCCTCGGAAAAGAGGCTTTCTGCGTCAAATGGGGGGGATGTCACGGTGGCACAGGCACCGAACAGCCGACGTACAACTTCACTCTTGCGGGACCGCTCGCGGATGTCATTCGAGGTGCAGTGGAACTACGCAAGATCTCCATCGACTACACAGAAACCATCTTGGATGATGTACCACAGCTCGTAGATGCCATAGCGAGTCTCCCGTGTCTCCAAGAGGTCTGCTTCTATCGCGCCGACGAGTCGACACTCGGCCTTCTCTCTAATATGCAGAGTCGCCCCAGGAAAGTCAAATTTTGCATCATCAAACATAACGATCAAGAGACGGATGAGAGGTGGTGGGGCGATTATGCCTCCGGGGATGATCGCTTTCTAAGCAACTTCACTGAAACCCTGGAGGTTTTGAGCCTGAATGGAGGCTTAGAGGAGGAGGAGGAGGAGGTAATTCCATTTAGTCACCCCAGCTAAGTACTACCTACGCAGATGCGCCAGTACATAGCTCGTGACGGCGTTCACCGATTAGATGACAGCCGTGTATCCGAGAGGCCCCCACTTGTCTACATCTAACCTACAGTGCCCTACTCTCACTATCGCACGATTACAATTACAGTCATACATGCAGTATACCTTGGCCCTCTAGCTGCTAGGCTGGGCGGGCATCATGGGTAAAACCTGGCAGGAAAAAATATGCAAAAACCTCCAGGTGTCAGCAGCAGTCCCCCGCCACACTGACATAACTCCCCATGATCCAGGTGATGTATCTAGTGCTACAGCCGTCCTACATCGTGCGGAAGGCATGATTTGCCCCCAATGCATAGTGAGTGCAGGGAATCCGTGGGTTGGTTGTAAACCAATGGTGAACTCCAGTGCACTGGAGAACATGGGCTTCGAACAGGAAGCTGCGGTCATACAGTCGCACGCGGGCGGACAGTGGTAGCCCGCTCACTGTATTGAATACAAAGGTGACTGATACACACTGGGGATCAGTGGTAAGGGGACGGCCTAGTGGTGCTCATACTCCTCATGCAAGTACTGTGCTACGGCTGTCTCGAACGGTGCACACGTTCAATCGGTGCCATGAGGGTAGCATTTCCAATACATTCGGTGTACTTCTGCAGAAAAGTGCAGGTATTGGAACACCAGTAGCTGTTGCTAGGCATACCATAGACCCATGGGCCATGTAGCAGTCCCCGTCGCAGCCCGCACAGTGAAACTCAGCTCACACTGCCAAAGGAACCGAGCATTGTGCCACACTGCAATGAATTATGACAGTGTAACACATTGACCGGAGAACAACTTGAATGTTGTCAACTTGAAACACTCGTAATCATTGCCCACAGCCTGAGGCAGCATCACCAAAGGGTGGCATCACCATGCATGCTGCAAGGTGGTATCTGCCGAGCCAAAGCTACGAGGCGAGAATTCAGACTAAGGGTGCGCCCACAGGGCAATGTTAACATCAGCGAGAATTCAGACAAAGACGTAGGGTACACCTTGATAGGCTCACGCCGTCGACCACTCCCCAGCTACAAGATGGTATCGAGGAGCATTCGTGCTACGAGAAGGCATCGCCAGCGCCGAGCAGACTGCTTCTAGGCAGCATCGTAGAGTAATAGCTACGAGACGGAGGATGTCCTGGGCAAGGCGGGGATCGCCGACCGCACACTCACGAGCCGCATCGCTCGACAGCTGGATCATCGTCGATGCAAGGGTGTTGCCCCCGAAACCCATCACCGAGCACTTTGCTTCGAGTCGGCATGGTTGAGATCCTCCGAGACAGTTGCCCTTGAGTTTTACACTGCGAGATGGCATCGTCGAGCCTTTCCGCTTCCAGGCCGCATCACCGAGCATAGGTCATTCGGGGGGGGGGGTTGAGGAACGAGGTCGCCCTCGGTGGCGGGGAACACCAGCAGACAGCTATAAAGCGGCGCCGAGCGTTTCCACGGCTGCATCGCCGAGCATAGGTCCTGCATGAGGATAGAGAACAACACCACCCTCGTTGTCGAGGAACACCAGCAGACTGCGACGAAGCGGCACCCAGCGTTTCCACGGCTGCATCGCCGAGCATAGGTCGTGCATGTCCCAGAGACGATGATCCAGTAGACTGCTTCTAAGCAACGCCAAGCGTTCCCGCGGCTGCCGCGCTGAGCATAGGTCGTGCATGACGAACGTCATCGTCGTCGGCGTTGCTGGAGGCAACACCCAACGGCGGCATCACCTAACGGCGGCATCGCCAGACAGCGGCATCGCCGAGCATTGCAGCTTCAAGGCGGAATTGCGCAGCATCGTCGAGCAGTTGCTTCCAAGACGGCATCGTCGAGCATTCAAGGTGCTTCTAGACGGCATCGCCGAGCATTTGCTTCGAGGCGGGTACAGAGCATGTAGATTCTCGTCGAGTGAGTCTACATCAAGACGGCGTCACCGAGCAAATTTGCTACAGGACAGCAGCGTCGAGCGCCCTGCTTCCAGACGGCAGGTCGTGCAGACAGGACACTTTCCCGACGTCGGTGATCCCCAGCAGACTGCTTCGAAGCGAGCATCGCCGAGCATAGGTCGTGCGGACAGGACATTTTACCAACGTTGGAGATCCCCAGCAGACCGCGTCAAAGCGAACGTCGCCGCCAGTGAGTGCGGCAACGAGAGACCAGCGGGTGGGCCGGGCGGTGCTGCCACAAGTGGCACTAGGTCCGCGAAGGCTTCAGTCTAGGATGTGTCGATCCCTACAAGACGCAGATAAGCCCCCCAGACCCAACCGGTGAGCTACTCACAAGACTGCGACGCTCGCTCAGGAGCCGGCCTCCACTCGCTCGACATCATCCCGCGCTTTTAGCGCCGTCATCCGACCACACCGACATCCATCCATCCAGTCCCCGCTGCTGTCCAGCCCGTTGTTGAGCTTCCTCGACTGCCATTTGTCTTCAGCGCCGCGACACTGTTACAGGAGCTACCACAGATTGCCAAGCACTAGAAGACATTCCATTGACAGGCCAGTGGTTGAGCTTCCGCCTCGACGGACGCACCGTGGGAGGCCATCGTAGAGGAGCTCGAACCACACACGGTTTGGCGTGCTGTTCGTGAACTCAACCTCGTTCACGGGAATTCAGTCAATCTACAAGTCATGGCCCGCGCTTTCCCAAATCTGCGCCGTCTGCACTTCGAAGCCACGCCTTCCGCGGCTGTGCCAGACATTGGTCACTGGCGAAAGCTCGATTTCGTCTCAGCATCACATCCTCTCCCTTTGCAGCATCCGGTTCGACACTTCTTCATGCGGTGGCATCTTGATGCATATAGTTACCGCCGACCTGAGGTTGACCAGGCCCTAGAACATGGTACCATCACTATGCTGCAACACATCCTGCCCGTCGTACTCGAGTGCAGTGCTCACAGGCGCACTTTTACGTGCATAGCTCGTCATGCGCCCTCAGTCCGCTGTATGAGAACCACTGTGGCAGTACCGGTACTCAGTATATATAATCGCGGTCATGGACATGACTGGGGCAGGACTATCGAAGAGGCGAAGCTCACATTGGTGAATATAAGCCCACTGTCGAAACATCATAGACACTCACCAATTGTGCACAGATCGACATCTTCTCGCTCCTCCGAACTCTACCTCTCAAAGGGATCGCCATTGTACTCCAGGGACACAGAGCGTGGTTCGAGGCCTCTTACTGGGAGCAGCATGCTCGCACAATTGCAGCCTGTATTCCTACGCTGGAATACATTGGGTTGCGCCGGAAGGCCGATGCCTATTGGCCTAGCGATCATTGGGATGGTCCGGAGCCATACCGGTGGTACCAGGTCGTTGAGCGCACCGAGCAGTCGGAGGTGGCTGTAGAGAGCCTGTCGGACGAGGAAGGTGTCCGCATCCACTCTGCACTCTTCAGCATGTCCAGAAGTGTTGAATGAGCTTCATTCTGAGCTTCATTCGGGCCATTGAATGCAGGTGAATACGGAAGCCCGAGTCACTCATGCGTTCAATATAGCATGACTCGGACACACTAGAGTCTGTGTATTTAATGGACCTACGAGCATGTGCTTTATTCTTTCCGATATTTCGAGTGCGAACATGGAACGTTGGCGCTGCTCGGGCGAAGACGGCTCAGGCTGCCAAGGGCGGCGAGTTGGCGGCGACTCGCGAGGGCATTGGGCAGGATTCGGGAATGATGGACGCGTTTGTCACGTGATGCGGGGTGCAATGGTCCCGCGCCACCGTCAGCCTCCTGAAGGCCTGACCACCAATGTGAATCTGACCTCTGTTTCCTCTCACCTGAGGCTTCTTCGAACCACAAAAGCTCTGACCTGTTAACGGTTTCTTGCAAGTCTTGTTGCGGATACTGGAATGCAATACCCGCGTGAAAATACGGCCAGGATGATATCGTCTGTATGGAGTGACTTGACCTCCAGAACAGGATGTAGCGGGCATGTATCGTCAGGTGCGCGGTCAGCTGCTGGGCCTCCCCGTATTTCTCCTATTCCTACGCCCCTTCGGCACTCCTCTTCCCCACAGATCTGCACGCCGTCTGCATCGGGCTCATTCCCTTCGGATGCTGTCGGTGTGAACCGGCTATGAGAAGAGCGCGTGCTGCGGCTCCCGCCTATATACAGTAAACCGCGAGCGTTGTGTCCGCCCATTCCAGTCCCTGCGAGGACGGTTAGCTTTCGACTGTATTGCATCAGGTGCAGGGCCTTCGTCGCGGAACTCCAGACGAACCATACAGCTCAGGACCGAAGCGTTAGCGTCGTACCCCTTTCCGGCCCACCTCAACCATGTCGAAGACCCTGGAATCAGCAGCGTCGCTGCCAGTGACCCCGCCGCCTGACGTCGCGCCGCCCAAGAAGAAGCAGCCGTACCCGTTCTGGCTCGGAGGTGCGTTACGTTCATCCAGAAGCACAGTTGCAGGGCTTCGACCGACTCGAACGATCGACGTCGATCTAATCTCCACTATGTCCGCATGCAGGTGCCGCTGCGACAATCGCTGCATCCATAACACAGTATGTCATCTCACTTGTGTCTTGACATGAGAGCCTGATGTACGTATCTGGTGCCCGACAGCCCGCTGGACTTGACGAAGGTGCGGTTGCAGGCGACGGAGGACAAGAGGATGATCGAGTCCATACGCAAGACCGTGCGCACAGCTGGCGTGCGGGGGCTCTTCGACGGCATTACGGGAACATGGCTCCGCCAGATGTCATACTCGGTATGCCGCTTCTGGGCGTACGACGAGGCAAAGAAGATCGTAGGGGCAGGTGGGTGCATCATCGAGCGTGTGAGTACTACCATGGAAATGAACATGCTCTGCCCTCCACAGGTCCGAATGCACCGGCATGGAAGTTAGCGCTTGCGGGCAGCATGGGTGCGGACATAGAAGCCTGGGGGTTGCTCTCGGATTACTCAAATACTATTATGTAGCGGGTGGCATCGCGGGGCTCGTCGGCAACCCCGGAGGTACGTCAATCTCGTCCTAATCTACCACACCGATCGCTGAGATTAAGATCTGCGCAGAGATTATTATGGTCTGTAGTGCTTCCAATCCAGGTCGCTAGGTTTGCTTGACGCACGTGCGTACTCAGGTCCGACTCCAAGGTGACCTGGCCAAGCCGCCAGAGAAGCAGCTAGGGTACAAGAATGCCGTTGATGGGCTCATCCGCGTGCGTCTGGACCCATGATTAGCTGTGGGCAAACGTACTGACGCTCCGATGTAGATGGTACGCGAGGAGGGTTGGTCGTCTCTGGGACGTGGAGTTGGCCCGAACATATTCCGTGCCATATTGATGAACGCGAGTCAACTGGCGTCGTAAGTGGGACAAATTGAACGCAAAGTCTGATTATTTTATTGAGCTCTTGATGTTCTCAGGTACGATTTCTTCAAGGCTGAGCTACTCAAGACTAGTTACTTCGAAGATAACATCAACGTCCATGTGACAGCGAGCTTTGCTGCTGTCAGTGTTGTGTGACCACTGTGAATGACCAGTACTTAAACGAGCATTGCAGGGCACGGTAGCAACCACGGTCTGCTCACCAGCTGATGTCATCAAGGTACAAGCCAAAAGTGCATCCCTCGCGCCACTGTACTGACGGAGTGCTGATTCTCAGAGTCGGATTATGAGCGCCTCAGGCAAAGACGGTTCTGTGCGTTATGGCTCTACACTTCCGCGCGCCATGCGATGCTCACAGTAGACATTTTTGTCTCAGTCGACCCTGCAAGTCATCAAGACGTCGCTAAAGAACGAAGGCCCGATGTTCATGTTCAGAGGCTGGCTTCCTGCATGGACCCGTCTGCAGCCGACGACAATCCTGATTTTCGTCACGCTCGAGCAGCTGAAGAACCTTGTGGATTATACCCGGTCGCTTCGTGGGCAGTAGGGAAGAGCTCGGCGCGGGGTCTGGACTTTAACGCTATTGTTTGTGATGTGCCCGGATTGCAGTGTACGAGGAGGCTGTGTTTTTGGTGCGTCGGGGATCATTGATGTTCCTTGGGCGCGTATCGATCCATTGAGGATGATAGTTGTTGTATACCAGTGTAAATCCACAGGTGTATTGTGTTGTACCATACCCTTTGCACGAGACGATTGCGATCTTGAAGTCTGTTCATCAAGCGCAGATTTGTCCTGTGTGGCGATGCCGCCTGACACAGAAGAGTCAGAAGGTCGTGTTTGGAGCATCTGTTGGGACGGGCGATCGCCCAACTTTGGCCGCAGACAGAACGCCGTGCGAGACCGAAGGACCGCCCCTAAACTGCACGATCAGGCGCTTATTTCTATTAGGTGGCGCCGTCCCGCCTCGACGAATGGGATGCGCTTCTCGGTCGGTTTAGTTTGCCCACAGCCGGGCTAAAGCTGCGACATGCAAATTGGAAACAGCGCTGAAGGATCGCCACCTGTCAGTAGGCCCGCTAACAACGTGTCACAGGAGCGAATGGCCGCTCGCATCGCGAGGCTGGGCTATACATATAAAGGTTAGAGTTGTGGATTGACCGTGCAACCTTCGCCATTCCCTTGAGACGTTCGAACTGCTATCTACCGGCTCTGAGAGAGCAGTTCGTTCCCCAAGATGTCCGCTGCGGGTCCTCTGGCTGTACTGAAGGAGCTGCCGACGCCATACGTCCTCACACTCCTTGCTGTATTCTCTTACTTGCTGTATCTCCAGGTGACCCGCCGGTCGCATCTCAGGTTGCCTCCCGGTCCCCGTGGACTACCCTTCATCGGCAATGCGCTGCAAATTCCGCCCGAGCGTGCATGGGTCACCTTCGCAAAGTGGTCTGAGACATATGGTGAGCCTTCAGTACTACACCCTCGACATCGGTACTCATTGCGCTCTCAACCGTCAGGTGGCATTATGCATCTGTCGGCCCTCGGGAAGCCGACGATAGTGCTCAGTTCTCCCGAAATCGTCAACGAGCTGCTCGAGAAACGGAGCGCGATATACTCGGACAGGCCCGTCCAGACGATGACCAGTGAACTGTAAGCCATTCATCATATGATGGGAGTTTGCGGGGTATCTGCTGAATGAACGCACGTGCGCAGGATGGGATACGGGCCGTTCCTGCCAGTATGTGCATACGGGAGCTGGCACAGGGAAGGTCGCAGGATCATGGCGGGCGCGCTGAGTGCGAGCAAGATGGCGGACATCCGCCAGCTCCAGATGCAGAAGACGAGCCGACTCCTGACGAAGTTGTTGAACAATCCCGAGGACCTCTGGTCTCATATGCGATGGTCAGTACTGGCGGCATACCCTCCATGGGTGCGTTGACATTGATGTCATTTGAAGGTTCATCGCGAGTATCTCTTTCGGCGTCAGCCACGGATACAACGTGGAGAGCCTCGAGGACCCGCTGGTCCGGCTGGCTGAGCGGGCGAATCTTGAGTACTGCTTGGCGGCTGTACCGGGGGCGTTCTTGGTCGATGTGATACCTGCATGTGCGTCGGACCATACCTGTCTGTCCCAAAGGTTAGCTGATGTATTGCAGTGCAATACGTGCCTGACTGGTTCCCGGGTGCTGGCTGGAAGCAAAAGCTCAAGGCGTGGCGTGGGACTACGGATCGTCTGAGGGACGAGCCGTTTGAGTACGTAAAAGAACAAGTGGTAGGTGTCCGCTTTGTGAGATGCTGGTTTTGGGCTCATGACAGTTCTATAGGCGAAAGGTACAGCCCAGCCCTCGGTTACGGCAAGCCTCATCGAAGAGAATCCGAACCGGAGTGAGGAGGAAGAACGGCTGTTCAGATACATGTCGAGTTCAATCTATTCCGGTACGCCGCCATGTCGTGGTCTCTTCGTATCCTGACTTGCTGACCTTCGTATTATGATGCAGCTGGTGCAGACACGGTTCGTAGGCTCATACCAGTGGTTTTCCCTGTCTGACGTAGCTCTAGACCGTTTCCGCGATCGAGTCCTTCTTCATGGCCATGATGTTATACCCAGAGGTCCAGCGCAAAGCGCAACTTGAGCTCGACACAGTACTCGGGCCTGGCCATATCGCGAACTGGGATGACCTCCATAGATTGACATATATTCAAGCTCTGATATATGAGATCTACCGATGGAACCCGGTGGCTCCTATAGGTGAGTGTGGTGCTTGACTCAGTTCTGTACGAGATTGATACGGGCTCTCGAAGCACTGCCGCACAGGGTGACGCAAGACGACGTCTACGAAGGATGCCACATTCCCGCGGGAGCTACGATTGTGGTCAATAACTGGTCAGTCGGCCTGCTGTTCTAGCTTGTGTATAGGCTCAAAATTATCAGGGCAATTCTGCACGACGCCGCTCTGTATCCTGAACCCTTCGAGTTTAAACCGGAGCGGTACTTGGATTCCAAGGCAACCGGACTAAACCCGGATCCTCGTCAGTTCGCCTTCGGATACGGCCGACGGTAAGTCGTACTCCACATGCAGAGGCGGGAAGGCTGAAAGGTTAATGCCTGATGTTCAGAGTGTGCCCGGGCAAAACTCTTGCTGAGGACTCAGTCTTCATAGCTGTGACATCGACTCTCGCGTTGTTCGAAATATCCAAAGTGCTTGATGCCAATGGTGCACCTATCGAACCTGACTCGACATTCGATGGCTTTATCTCGTGAGTTGCAGTTGTGAATCAGGTTTATCTCGCGGCTCATGAAGGACTTTGCAGGCACCCGCCTCGCTTCAGCGCTCGTGTGACTCCTCGTTTCCCCAACGTCGAGCGGATGATTCCCGCAGCATAAGGCTCGTTACTATAACCATGTTTCGTTCTAAGTTATCTTGCGCTTGTAGTGGTTGTGATCCGTATGTATTTGACTGAGCGGTTGAGGAAACGAGCGAGACATCATGTTGTGAGTTCCGATGTTTACACTTCGATGTCAATTCCAGACCATTCGTTCCTTCTGTATATGTAGTTCTGACATGCACTGTGTTCCGGCTACTCAAGAACTGTCCGGAGGCCAAAGAACTCGGTCGGTCGCCATGCTTGGCAGCAATTTGTGCGTCGTGCGATGCGTCGCTGGTGCGGAGGTTGAGCGGGATAAGGAGATCAGGACGTTTCGCATTGTTCTCGTCTAACTTAGAACCCAATGTACTTCCTACCTACTCCGCTCTGCTATGATGTTCCCCAAGGCTTTCCTGCTATTGTGCTGTGGGTCGAAGTCATCACCAGAACTCGAAGGACGGAGGCAAGCCGCTCAATTGAGCCGCGGCCCGGCACGCAGGCCCGGCTATCCCCGCGGGGAGGCCGGTGGCTGAGACTGAGGAGCTCTGCGACTTTGTAATCGTCGTTCCCACTCTCGTCTCGTTTTCTCGTCCGTGTCCTATCAGTGTCTGGTCATCGCATTTTTGCCCGAGCTCATCGCCTGTACGATGCCGCCAACTAACGGGAGTGACGAGGAGCAGTCCGCAGAGGCCAAGCCTTCGACATCGACCTCGAACCCGTCTGCCACTGGGAGCAGCACCAGCTCTATATTGAAGGAGAGGCGGTTCAAGCTCAGCAGGTTCGTCGCATAATCATTTATTTTGTCCTCATGCGTGTTGACAAGAGCTCTACGCCTGCAATTGTAGAGCGTGCGATCGGTGTCGGTGAGCACTATGCTGCGTAGTCGAGAAACACAGCGCCGGGCTCACACTGGGACAGGCGTCGTAGGATCAAGTGCGACGAAGGGCACCCATGCCAGTCATGTCTCACATCCAACTCGTCATGTACATTCGAGGAGCCGGGCAAGCGGACACACCCGCACAAGTCAAAGTGAGTCATCTCCTCTACCCTAGTGGGTAATTCGCGCATTCCCTGGTTTCCTTCCGTGTCGTTTACCACCGGCGAGTTTGAGCGCTCTACGAGAAGTAAAGAGACACCCCGCCCTGTGTCTCTGGTCTGCGCTGGCGTTCAGTCGGGCAGCAGACGAATTATCGGCAAGCGCTTTCGCGAAGTGCACACAGGGGTCGGGTGGGCTCGGGTGGCCTAAGCACTCGCTTCTCCAGGATGGTTGGGGAGCCGTCATTGTATTTGGTAGAACCCATGGAGGTGTGTTGTGTATTTCATCGCGTCCAGGTGGACCACTGCTGAATCCCGTGTGGATTGGGGCCTCCCCACGGAATTGAGAAAGCTGAGCAGTGGGTTCCGCGCTTTCTCGTTACGAGAAACGGGCACGGAAACGGACGTCCATGATACCAGTGATGACGTCTGCTCGGATATAGTTTGCAGGCACCGTTGGCGGATTGAGCGTCCTCGAAGCGTCTGTCACCTGGGTATCTGACGCTCGAAGTCCTCGTGCCGGGGCCCTCCATAATCGGGGAGGAAGCTGTAATTGATACAGGACACAAAGCGACAACCCTCCGCGAGGCAGGGGAGGATGGGTGAATACAGGACATGTGCCTCATTCTCGCCCGAAGGGTATCGTCTTTGAACAAGACGAGTTACTGTGTCGTCGGGCGCAGTCTACCACACAAAGCCCGGGTGTCGGTGCTACGTAGATCTACGTCAGTCAAGCGAGGACTGACGATAGATCTGACCGCACTTTTATGCTCGACAAGTCTTCAAGAATGGTGCAATACCAACTCCATTCACGCCCTAGAACCTAAACGTACCGTTCGCGGACATAGAGCGGATAGATTGCTAGGGCGAGGCATATTCTCATGCTCGTCTCTTTCAACTACCACTACGTCCTGCTGCTGGGCGCGATTTTATCTGGCCCACGTTTCTGTATATTCAGGGAACGTTGCTGACATCCCGCACCCATAGGCGTGCTGCGACCCTCGAGGATCGCATGCACCATTTGGAGACGCTGATTCAAGCCATTCCTCCCGCCGTCTTCGCAGCCGGCGGCGCAGGAGCCGCTCCCCACACTCCCCGATCGACCCGAGCACCAGCCCGCACGCATCCTTCGCGAACTCGACGCACATCTTCCCAACAGCGGTCCCCCCGCCGTCCCTGAACTCATATCCCCTGATGAACCCCTCGACCTTCTTCGCACCCGTCAAGGCGACGCGCAATGCGAGTCCGAGCTTCTCAGGCGGGCAGAGCGGCAGCATAGTGGTCGACAACCTCATGGAAGACACTGCGCGGATGTCGCTGTCGTCTTCGTATCTGTACTTCGACGACGAG